CAGCGAGGCAGGTGCATTGGGCTCCACTGGGTCCCTCTGTGGCTGACGGGGGCGCCCCTCTGGAGCCTTGGACAGAGAGTGAGGTCCAGATTTCAAAATACAGAAACCCCCGATACCTCTGGTATTGCAGTCTGACTTGACTTTGGGCTGGAGGATGAAGGCAAGCTTGACCACTGAGCCACATCCTCAGTCCTTCTTTATTTAGAGACAGGGTCTCACTAAATTGCCTAGGACCCTGCTAAATTGCTGAGGCTGGCTTTGAACTCGAGATCCTCCTGCCTCAGCCTCCAGAGCCACCGGGATGACAGGCGTGCACCACCATGCCCAGTGGGTACTGCCATTCTAAATAAAACAAGCTGCTGTGTCACAACCCCCTGCTACCCTGTGAGGTGGTGGTCAGCCAAGGTCGCCGATTGTGCGCTAACATGTTGGGAAACCCGGGCTAGATGTGTCTTGACTATGAAACGTTTACTAACTTTTCCCACTTGGTTTGAAATCTGGGAGCTGGGAGGCTATTTTGATGAGTGTACCCAGTGGCACACATTTTTCCTTCTGCAGGGGGCCTCCGTGGCTTTGGAAGTCCCGCCCACTTTCAAACAGCCCACTCTCTGGGTCACCCAAGCCAGCCTGCTGCTTCGCCTGGGCTGGGGACACAGACTGAACTGCCTGCGTGTCCCTGGCTGGTCTCCCAAGGAAAGGTCTGCTGATGGAAGGGAAGATGGGGCCAGAGGCGGGGGCTGGGAACCTGAGGTAAGATCCCCCTGCAGGTGTCTGACAAATTCCCTTATTATTCCAGAATGTCCTAGGCCCTGGGCACTTCTTGGTCCTTCACCCTGGCCAGCAGCGTGGGTTGTTGCTTCATCAAGTACAGCGTGCCCCTTCCTGGTGGATCTGGCGCTGTGGGCAGTGCTGTGATGGCCGCAGGCTCTCGGACCCCTGCTCCCCATCTGGGTGTGGAGATGGCACAGCAGTCAGGGGCACTTCCAGCTTCAGTCTTGTTGGCACAGCCCATTCTAACCAGGGGGTGGGGTGGCACTAGACGCGGCCGCCTCCTAGAGAGAGTGTTTCTCGCTCCTGGGCACCTGGACCTCACTCTCTGCCCAAGGCTCCAGAGGGCACCCCGTCAGCCACAGAGGGACCCAGCGGCGCCCAATGCACCTGCCTCGCTGGCAAAAATAATCAGGAGGGTGGGGGAGGTGGGCACGGGCCCGCGGCTGGCAGCGGTGTTGCCACTTGCTGGAGTGACCAGCCGCCCGGGCCTCAGCAGGAGCTTGAGGAAGGACGGGTTGCGGGATCAGCTCACCAGGCACCTCAGCCCGGCCGCTCCTGCCCTTCTGGAAGTCACTTCCTGCGATGATGAGAAGCGTGACATCCTCAGGTTCTCACGGCGGCCTCTCCCCTTCATAAATATCCCTCTTCCCAAGGACACAGCTGGCACTGGCGGTATCATCTCATAGCAGGAGGGGAGCGGTGACACACGCGATGACACCCGGCCTGGCACGGATCTCAGAGCGCAGAGCAGGCCTCGCAGTCTCCCTGGCCTTGGGCTGGCCCGGCCTGAAGGTCTCGTGTCCTTAAGCTGAACGGTGCCACCTCGCCCTTGGCACTCGGGCCCTGGGCAGGAAGGGGTGTTTGTATGTGATGCAGCATTGCTCCCCCAGGGCCTCCTCCCCACCATGGAGGGTCTCTGAGCTGCACCCCCACACTCAGTTCACGGAGGGTGGCGTTTCTGAAGCCACACCTGTCAATTTGCAGCTGTCCTTCCCCCACACGGTGGCAGTGATGGGTGGCTCAGAGGTGAACTAAACTTCCAAATCCAGCCTGCTGTCCCCTTTATAAATGTGACATTTAAAGCCCCGTTGGCGCAGGTAAATCATGATCACACTTCCAAGGGCCTCTGGTGCCACTGCAGGTCCTTGACAACCGCAGCTGGAGCGGGAGGCTGGCCTGGCAGCGCTCGCTGTCCCCGCTCCCTGTCCCCCTCACACCCGCACACACTGGCTCAAGCCTCCCCATTTTTATTCTTTTTCCCACGTGGCCCCTCCTCTTTGCGGCTGTCCTTGACCTTTCTGAGACCCAGGACGCTCTGGGGATGCAGGGGCAGAAATCTCAGGGGCCGTGGTCCTTCGAGGGAGGTGGCAGGGGCTTCGAGGCAAAGACCCTTGTGACAAGCTCCTCAGGAACCAGGACTCTGGAAAGCAAGCTGCCCCCTGTCACCACAGGGACCCACAACCCCCGCTGTGGTATTTCAAGGGGCCTGGGTCTCAGTCCGATGGGCCGTTCTCCTGTATATCTTCTCCTGGTTCCCCTCCTTCATGGCTGCGTATCTGGCCACCGTGAAGAGGTAGTCGCTGAGTCTGCGAGGAGCAGAGAGGAAGAGAGACGAGGTCAGTGCCCATGGGCCTTCCTCTGTGGCCTACGAGGAGGAGCCATGAAGCCCCGGGAGCACTGTGCGGGGACGGCATGTGCCCAGCCCTCTTGGGTCAGACGGGTGGCACCGAGGTCAGCTTCTGTGACAGCCAGGGTCCCAACTTTGGTACTGGATGGGGCAGTTCCTGCCAGACCTGCTGTTGACCTGCCCTGACCCCACGGGCAGGAACTCTGGACCACCCTTTGGGTTGGTTCGTGCACTTCGAGTAACCAGGACTGCTACTTCCCAAACTGGAGGGTGCACGGATCACCCGGGGACCGTGTGACATGCAGATCCCCATTCTGGTCAGCACTACCACACTTTGAGAAGGGAGGGTTCTTGACCTTGGCAGTAGGACATTCTGGACTATTCCTTGAGGTCAGGTGGTCCTAGGCATCGTAGGGTATCAGCAGCCTCAGTCTCTACCCACTAGATGCTGGTAGCACCCCAACACCCAGCTGTGACAACTGAAGCTGTCTCCAGAACCATGATGTCCTGGGAAGCACTGGCCTGGAGTGTTCTAGTGACCAGGGCACAGTCACTCTCTCTCCTTCCTTTGCCCCAGCAGTGATGGCCTCCGGGCAGGGGGCCTTTTGCAGGGAAACTGGTGGAGAGCATGCAGGATGGGACGCCATGCCTGCCGTGAGGTGCTTCCTCGGGTCCATCTAGGCTGTCCCCCTCAGCCGCTGCCACACCAAGCCCTCCCCCTCCCTGAGGTCAGCACCACAGAACTCTCTGACCATGCCCAGCCCCTGGGCCCACCCGCCCACTCCTGGTGGCCCACTGCTGGCTCTTTGGGGACAGTAGGGGAGACTGCTCTGGGTACTGCCCCCTCCTGTAACTCCTGGAGGGCAGCGACGTGCTGTTTCTTGTTGGCTCCGTAGCATCTGCCCGGGGCGGAGCTGCCTGGCCACATGCCACTGCAGACCTTAGGGGCTCGGGGGGTGGGGGGGCTGCAAAGGTGGGATGGAGCTGCTGGTCGGGGGTCTGCACCTCCCAGGAGGAAGGAGCTGATCAGGAGCCACCCGAGCCCAGGCCACGACCCAGTGAGAGGGGAGTCCACTGTCAGGAGCCACGCCTGCTATGCAGTCACTCACAGCACGGCTGGCACAGCTTCTGGGGTGCTGCCCCTGGGCTCTGGCCTCGCCCATGCTCATGCCACCCAGCGAATCCAGTGGAGCAGGCTTCAGGCTGCCGAGGCACAGGGAGTCCTCCCTGGGTCACTGGGTCCTGCACCAGGGCTCCCGAGCTTGGCCGGGCCTGCCTCTCTGCTGCCCTGGAGTGTCTCTGGGAAGGGAGACTGGCTGGTCTCCCTGGCAGTCACTGTCAGATGCCTCGTGAGGACTCCCCTGACCAGGCTTCCAGCCTGTCCCTCTGCTTATTCGTTTCCACTATTTTTTACAGTGGTCTCTTCCAACCAGATCTCAACCTCGCCAAGGACAGGGACAATGTCTGTCTCCTCCACAGCTGCTCCCCACACCTGGCACTGTGCCTGGCACACAGCAGACACCCACAAACATGAGCAGACGGGTGGGTGAGTGAGCACGGCCCCTGCAGGGCTCCGCAGACCCGAACCACCGGGGTGCTGTCCCACAAACGTGCCTAGAGTTCAGAGCAGAGACCCGTCCGCCACCCTGCACAAGTACCTGTTTAAGAACTTGGCCACATTGGCATCCGTCTCTCCCATCTGGACAAGAGGCACCACGCTGAGAAGAGAAAACACAGTCACGCCATGCTGCAGGACCCAGCACACCCAGGGACCTGGGCCTCTCCCAAACAGCTCTTCCCAGATGGCCCTGGTCGACTTCAGTCTGTGCAAACTTCGCCAGCACCAGAGGTGGAAACTGTCCTTGTCCCTGGTGGGCTTAATAGGTCATTCAATCCCCTTTCCTTGGACACATCAGACAGGGCCTGGCCAAGGAGGGATGGAGCACAGAGCAGAGGTTGGTGGGATAGCTGCCCCGCATCCCAGTGCACTGGTTTTGGGGCGACAGGGCCCAGGTCAGGGCCCCTAACTGGGTAGGACAGAGTAACCACCCCAGCCTTCCAAGGGGAAAGCTAACCCTAATCCCCAAGGGGCTGCCAGTTTAAACTACAGCTTGGAGCAACTTCATGGGAAAGAAAAGACCCAAGCCAACCAAGCTCCCGGTTCCCCACGATTCCGAGTTCCCAGGGTCCCCACCAGTCTGTGTAGACGTTTCAGACAGTGGACTGCAATCTGCTAAGCACTGAGAAGGTTCAGGGCCCTGCCAGGCCCCTCCTGCATATTGCTGCTGCTGCAGGACCCTTGCTGGGCGGCACTGTCCCCAGACCCAGCCTCGGGGTTCTTGCCCCCATCTGAGGTCACACAACTGGCTGATGGTCCAGGCAGGAAGTGGGTCCAGCCTGCCCCGGGGGGCGCCTCCCACTCAGCATGGAGGTTCTTTACCAGAAGTGTCCCAGCCACTGTCCTTCCCCCCCAGATAGTCTGCTGCTCATGGCTACAGCAGTGGCCGCCTGCCTCTGGGACCTCCATCTGCTCAGCCCTCCCCTCGCTGGGCCTCTGGGAGGTTTCTGACTTCTTGCTGCTATGAGCGCTACTGATGTACGTGACTTTGAACAAATGACATGTTTTGCTTTTTTATTTTTGTTCAATACTTATGAGGATTGAACCCAGGGGTGTTAAATCCCCAACCCCTTATTTATTTAACTTTTATTTTTAATTAATTTCTTCTGTGCTTGGGACTGAACTCAAGGGGACTTTAATGCTGAACTACATCCCCAGCCCTTTTAATTAATTGATTAACTTGGAGACAGGGTCCTCCTAAGTTGCCCAGGCTGGCGTTGAGATAACCGTTCTCCTGCCTCAGCCTCCCGAGTCCCTGGGATGACAGGTATGTGCCACTGGGCCTAGCATATTTTTTGCTTTTGAAGCTAAAACTTTCTGTTACCCAGGATTCCTTTGCCTGTCTTGGACCAAGAGCCTTTCATGAAGGACAGAGCTTTTGTCGTGTGGGGTCATGGAGAGCTCAGGGTTTGGCTGGAGAGACCTGGGCTGAACTACACTCTGCACTCTGCAGGGACCACTTGGTGACCCTAGTCATGATGTCACCTCTCTAAGCCCATTTCCTGACTCCTATAAAGAGGGGCTGCCATGTATTTCAGGGCTCTAATGAGGAACCTATGAGATTATGAGCAGAGCGCCTGGCCCACAGGTGGCTTGTACCTGGGGGACCTGTCTTTCTGTTCTCCAGGTGGGCGGCAGCCAGGCTGAGGAGGGGTGTGATTGGGCACTTCGCAAGTCCTTGAAAAGTCTGTTGGTGGCTTTCCATTCTGAGTGGGGGAAAGGCCCAGGCAGCTGGTGGCTGGGCTATGACCACTTCTACCCAGGGCCCCCGCAGCCAGGCAGCCCCCACACCCCTCCTTCTCTCTATGAGCTAAAGGAGTCCTTTATGCCACTATTTCAAGTAGCCGGGACCCATCACTGGCTTCTTCTTGCTTGCAGGAGAAAGGCAGGCCCCTCTGGCCCACGGGTAGTGAGCCCTTGGTTTCTCTGCCTCTGTCTCCCCTCTGCAGGTGGGCTCGGAGGACGGGGCTCGGGGCTGGCCTGCCCTGGCCCGCTGAGAAAGTCTCCAGAAGCAGAGCTGCCTCTGGACAGGGAGCCACACCTGCCTCCTGCCTGCCGTGAAGGCCCCCTCCCCGGGGCTCACATCTCAGCCAGGTGGGGGGGGCACGACACCTTACTCAGCTGGGGGGGCCCTTACCATCTCTCAGCTGGGGGGGCTTACCGTCTCTCAGCTCGGCGGCAGACGGCCCGACAGAAATGCAGAGCAGAGCTACTCTTGCCTCCCGACTGAAAGGAGAAAATGGGTGTTGGCTGGGCAATATTTGGCCTGGGGGGCCCTACTGGGCAACCCTGGAGATGCACCTCCATCGGGCACAGGGCTGGGGAGGGGTCAGAGAGGCTGGAGGGACCTGGGGCTGGAGGACAGCTTCTGTCGCTATTAAGGGCTACTGAGGGGGACGTGGAAAGGCGGCGTCTTTTCTCAGTACCCCTGGTCCGCAGCCCCCCCACCTGGTGGAGGCCGCCCAACACCTACTGGCAGGATGAAGGCTGTGAGCGGGGGCAGCTGGCGGGAGTACTTGTCGATCCACTGCTCCAGCTCCAGGGTGGGCCCCGCCTCGAAGGCTGTGTGTCCTGAGGGTCACGGAGCAGGAGGAACAGCCAGACATGAGGCCCAGCCCTCGAAGCAACACCCGAGTCCCTTCCGCCTGCGTGGCCTCAGACTGTAGCCACCCTCAGGGCCAACCTCCCTCCGGGGGCCACGGGGCTTCATGGCCGACTGGCGTGGCCCTGGGCTCCCAGGAGACCCCCACCCGCCGGGCAGGTGGGAGAGTTACTTAAGTGAGCCTCCCTGGCCGAGGAGCGTGGGGTGGCCAGGGCGGAGCCGACGTCCTGCAGCACGCACTGGATCTGGGGAGAAGAGGAGAGTGAAGTCGTACTCGTGAGGCTGGCCAGAAGTGACAGAGCCACACGCAGGGGTGCCACCTGGCCACAGAGTGTGGGACTGTCAGGCTCTCAATGAGGTGACAAACCAACAGAACCTGCACGTGACCCCGTGGTGGGCCGCTAGCCCTGTGGAGGGGACCTGTGAGGCTGTTTCAGAGTCTGCGGGAGGACAAGGCCCAGTGTCCAGCGGTGAGCAGGGAGCGCCCAGGTGGAGGTTAAGAAGAACCTTCTGGCTCTGTCCTTGGCTCCCGTGCACCTGTGCCCTGTGCTGCTCCTCTCTGGCTGACTGCTCTGGTTTCCTGACTGGTTGGACTGAGACGCCAACGGGACGCTACAGCCCAATGTGTACAGGATGCTGCGGAGACAGTCAGCTAGGGCACGCGGGGCCTCTGGAGCAGGAGCCTATCTGCTCCCCGGAGCCCAAGCCTGGGCTGTCTACTCTCAGGAGACATGTAGATGGAAACCTTGGGTACATCTGGAGGTGCTGTCCCCATCTCTGTGTTTGACATTCACTCTGGGAGTCAGAGACCCCAACTCTCCTTTTCAAGGTACTGGGGATTAAACTCAGGGGTTCTCTATTACTGAGTTGGACCCCAACCCTGTTCCCCTACCAATTTATTTTGAGATAGGGTCTCCCTAAGATGCTCAGGCTGGCCTCAAATTTGTGATCCTCCTGCCTCAGCCTCCAGGCTATCTGGGTCAGGCTATCTATGCCTGCTCCTTCTTAAGGAACATTCAGAAATGCTAGTGAGCAGGCCCAGCTGGGCTCACTGCTGCAGGGTGTCCCCGAGCTGTGGGGGCACTTCATCGTGGGTTTCTCAGCCTGGGGGTTACTGCCTTTTGGGACTGGGTCACCCTTTGTGGAGGGGACAGACGGGTGCACTGTAGGATATTGAGCTGCGCTCCTGGTCTGTCCCAACAGATGCCAGCAGCAGCCCCACCCCCCAGATGTAGCATCACAAATGCCTCTGAGCATTGCCAAATGCCCCCCGGGGCAGAGCTGCAGCTGGAGAGGCTGCTGCACTTTGTCCTCTGTCCTGCCCGAGGAGGAGGGTCATCTCCACATGTCCCCTTTTCACAGATGGGGAAACCGAGGCATGCAGACAGGAGTGACCAGCCCCAGAGGCATGAAAGGGGAGCAGGAGCAGAGGAGGAAGTCAGTCATGGCCACTGGGCTGCCCCGACCTGGGGCGAGAGGATGGCACTTACTTTCTGAAGCTCTTCGGCAAACGTGTGGCCCTTTTCTTCAATTAATTCCATAGCAAACCTGCGAGGAAACAAACAAAAAGGATGCGGCTCTAGGACAGGGCTGCGCCAACGCGTCCCCAGGTGGAGGCCATCCACTGGTTCAGCTGCAGCCCGGGGCCGTGTCTCCTGCCGACACCAGGGGCGTCCTTGCCTCTTCTCACACTCGTTTTCCCAGTGATTCCCTTTTGGGCACCTGCCCTGGCAGAGTCGTGGGGATTCGGTGAGGAACAGAAGGTGACACAGGCCTGTCCAGCAGTGGGGGGACTTCAGTTGGGGACCATTCTATCAAATGGGAAGCTGCAGGCCGAGGTCAGTGCGGAGGGAGATGAGGGAGCCCCAGCTGGCCTCAGCCAGGGCGCAGGAGGGCTTCCAGGGCAGCTGGAGGTGGGGCTCTGGGGGCTGAGGGAGGTGGGATGGGGGGGAGGAAACTGCCCAGTTGCTGGTCAAGATGCTGCCCCTGGCCTCCTCTGCACCCCGCTCTCTCTTGTACCCCTCAGCGTCCTGGAGGGGACCGGGGTGCACTGGGAGGAGGAGAGGCGGGAAGGCAGGGGGCTCAGAGGCGTGAGCCGTTACGGGAACTGGTGATCATGCCAGAGACTAGCAGGAGGGGGAGCCTGAAGGGGCAGGGGATGGGGAGGGCGCCCCCACCCTGCAGAGTGCTGGATTCCAGGCAGCGAGTGAGGCAGGAGCCCAGGGCCACCAGGCGCCACCCAGCTAAAGCGCAGGCTCCTGCGTGCCCTCAGACCTCTGCACCCCCTCTCCAGCCTCCTGCTGCCACCTCCCATGGGCTGGACCCCAGAAATCCAGGAAACCAGGGAGCTGGTCACCAGTCAAAAGGCCCGCTGCCCAGGTACAGAAAGGAAAGAGGAGGTGGACAATGGATACAAAAGGAGAACAAAAATGACCCGCGCACCTGCCCAGCCATCGCCAATCAGCATGAAATGAGCACAGAATTCGGCCAGGCACTGCCAGTGCGAGGAGACGTCTGCCAGCAAGGGCTCCTCCAGTGCTTGTCCCCTGCCGGGTCCCACCGCAGGCAGCGCCCCATTGGCGTCTGTGGCCTCCTGGAGACAGGGCTGAGGCTGTTTGCAGTGTCTGACACATGGAGGTGCCCGGTCAATATCTGACAAAGGACCCCAGACTTTGTCAGGGTTCTAGACTGACCTCTTGCCCCTCATCGGTTGGAAGATGCTGCTCACTGATTGGCTAACTTTTTTTTTTTAACATACCAGGGATTGAACCCAGGGGCACTCGAACACTGAGCCACACTCCCAGCCCTATTTTGCATTTTATTTAGAGACAGGGTCTCACTGAGCTGCTTAGGGCCTTGCTAAGTTGCTGAGGCTGGCTTTGAACTCACAGTCCTCCTGCCTCAGCCTCCAGAGCCCCTGGGATGACAGGCATGTGCCACTGTACCCAGGTCATTTGCTAATTCTGAATGGCCAATGTTAGCACCCATCCTGCCTCCACTGTGCCCACTTCATCCTGTCTCCCCAGCCCCATAGACAGGGTTTTGCCTTCTCTGCCTTGCTGGAAGACTACCACCCGTGACGTTATCTGCCTTGAAAATCTCACCTCGTCTGCACATTGCTGAGAAATGGTAGCCATGAACACATAAATTATCATGATAATGATAATATCTAAGCTGGGCACTGTCCTAGGGAGGAAACATGGAATTATCTCACTTAATCGCATAAGTACACAGTGAGATGGGTATGATCACTACGACCATTTGACAGAGCAGTAACTGAGGCTCAGAGAGGCCAGGGGTCTGACTGAAGTCACATAGCTACCTGGCAGTTGTACTAAATTTGAACCCAGGTCTGCCTGGTTCCCGTGCCCCATCACCACAGAGCCATGTCAGACCTGGAATCCAGCACTCGAGATACTGTGCTCACACTGTTCACAGCGCTGAGCGTGGGGGGCTGTGCTATGATTCTCAGCAGGTGCTGCCCCTCCCACCCCACCCACGCCAGGCATATCCACAGGAATGGCTCTGGGACGTCTAAGACTCAGTGTGAGCTTCACCAGGACTCCTCTTCCCTCTGCCCTCATGACTGGTAGGGTCTCAGACAGATGCTGTCCTGCCCTCCTGGGTCCCCTAGTCAAGGCCACATGGAGCAGAGACACCAACCCATGACATGGGCTTGAGGTACGAGCCGAAAATATAACTTTGGTTTCTAAGCTCTGAGGTTTGGGGGACCTGGCCTGGCTGATCCCAACTAATTCTTCACGTCAACCTTCTAAACACTGGCTGTTTCAGAATTATCACTCACAAACGGGATGGCACTTGGCACACCGCCCATCACACTAACTTGTCTCTGTCTCTTCAGAGACACAGCCCAGTGGTGCAGTGCTCACCTGAGCAGTGAGGGATCCAGGTAGGGATGGAGGGAAAGGCAGCTGCACCCGGTGACCAGCGAGACAAGCAGGAGCAAGCAGGGCCAGGAAGGAGGGTGTCTGCAGCCCAGCCACCTTGAGGGGCTGACCAGCCTACGCGCACAGTCAGGCAGACTCAAGTGCAGACACTTCCACGGTAGTGGCCTTCACTCTCCCCCCATTCAGACCCGACCTCAGGGCCAGTCCCACCTCCCTTACCCAATGGCTGAACTTAATTCATCTGTAGTTCCCACGGCTTCAAAGACCTGGTCATCTTTGGGTCTCCTTTCTCCTGTGAAGGTGCTAGAAAACCCTGTGGAAAAAAACATACAGCCGCCCAAATTAAGGGCCCCCCCACTTGCTGTGTTCTGTTTGTTTGTTTGTTGCAGTGGTGGGGATCAAACCCAGGGTCTGTGCACACTAGACAATGCTCTACCACTGAACCCCACCACCAGCCTGAAGTGTTCAAAATGCAGTTCAAGAGACACAGAAAACGCTGACCCAGGGGCTGGGGTTGGGGCTCAGAGGCAGAGCACTTGCCTAGCTTGTGTGAGGCACTGGGTTCAATTCTCAGCTCCGCATATAAATAAATGAATAAAATAAAGGTTCATCAATGTCTAAAAAAAAATTTTGAAAAAAGAAAGAAAAACGCTGACCCAGGTGTGGAGGCGCATGCATCCCAGCACGCATCCCCGCAATCTCCTATAATCCCAGGAGGCTGAGGTAGGAGGATGGCAGGTTCAAGGCCAAGCTCAGCAACTTAGTGAGGCCCTAAGCAACTTAGCAAGATCCTGACCCAAAATAAAAAAATAAAATAAAAAGGGCTGGAATACAGTTCAGTGATAAAGCACCCCAGGTTCAATCCCCAGTACCTAAATAAACAAACAAAAAAATAAAGAAGAAAGAAAAGAACTGAAACCTGAAGTGCACAAGTTCATGAATCGCTATTAACTAAATATACCTCTGTGATCAGCCTCCAGTTCAAGGACAAAACTTGACTAGTGCCCTAGAAGAGCCCCGCCACCACTTTCAGCCACCAGTCCTAGGGTGACGGCAAGCCTCACTTCCTCCCTGGTATGCTTCTAAACTTTAAAAGCATGTACTAAGCAGCCTGTTAAGACGAAAACCATTTCAGACATATTACATGTCCATCATCACTGTATCTCACAGGAAATCAAAGTCCCCCGCACCTCTGCCTGGGCCACGGTCCCTGCCTGGGCCATGGTTCCTGCCTGGGTCACGGTCCCTGCCTGGCAACACTGGCCTGGCATTCATAGGTAGGTTGGCTGCTCTGCTGAACACAAATGACTTCACAGAATGCTATCGGATGGTCCACCATGACTGTGACAGATCAGGACCAAAAGGAAAGAGGCGACAGCTGAGCAATTCCACAATATGAAAATACCCAACACCCGCTTTCCTGGTAAGTGTGAGTGATCGCTGCATCTGTATCCCCTCTTCCTCTCTCCCACCTTCTAGGGAAAAATTAAAATACCCAATGACGTAATCAGCCCTGCCTTCCGACAGCGTCCCATCCAGAGCAGAGCCCCACTTCCCTGAACCCTCCCCCCAAGCCACTCATCACAAGCCCAGCCCTATGAGTCCTTTCCGCACTCTCCTTAAAAAATATATTTATATGTAAATACATCTGTACATCTATACACATATACGTTGAGTTGTAGATGGATAATACCTTTATTTTATTAATTTAATGTTTTAATGCGGTGCTGAGGATGGAACCCAGTGCCTCACGCGTGCCAGGCAAGTGCTCTGCCTCTGAGCCCCAGCCCCGCCCCTCCACCATTCTTTTATGGAGTCATCTCAGAGTCCCATGCTGGGCCACCTCCTTCCTGCTAAGGAGCCAACTGCCCCTGTATCTCACTGCTGGTGGTCCCTGGAGGTCCTTGGCTGGCAGTCATTGACACTACCGCCTGACCCTTGTCATCCCTGGGTACGTTTCTTTTTGTTTTGGTGGTGGTAATACATGCTTAACGTGAACTTCACCATTTTGGTCTTTCTTTTAGTCTATAGTTCAATGGCGTTAAGTATATCCTGGGTGTATGTGTATACTTTTAAGTATAGATCCAAAAAACAATGTGATCTGCATGGTTTTAAACTTCAGGAAATGGTATCATTCTGATAGGCATAGTTTTTCCAAACCTAGATAGATCTACCACTGAGCTGTCTGCCTCTCCCCAACCCCAAACATGTTTTCATCACTTGATATACCTTGGGGGTTTTCATTTCACATCACATTTTTGTGATATGATTCAGATCTGTCACATAATTTTTTTTTAAACTGGGAATTGAACCCAGGGACACTTAACTACTGAGCCACAACCCCAGCCCTTTTTGTGATTTTATTTAGAGACAGGGTCTCGCTGAGTTGCTTAGGGCCTCGATAAGTTGCTGAGGCTGGCTTTGAACTCATGATCCTCCTGCCTCAGTCTCCTGAGCTGCTGGGATTACAGGCATGTGCCACAGCACCCAGCCAGTCACATACTTTTTAATGGCTACAAAGAAGTTAGAAGAACTTTGAAATGAGGTCAGCTGTATGTCTTTTGTTGCATTTTTCACCGGTCCTCACCCTACCTTTGTCTCCTGTCTTGGTGTAAATCTTGGGGGTCTTGGGGCTCTTCGACGGAGGCTGTAGCCTAATGAGAAACAGACACCAAGAGGTCATGAGTGAGATATCTTACACAGAGGGGCACCTCTGTGGGTCCCAGCTTTCTGCCTGCAACCTCAGCAGTAACCCTTACCCCCACCCCACCTTTTGGGTGGCAATATCTTGTTGACCTCTGTCCCCCCTATTCCTTCTACTTCAAGTCCTTTGTGAACCAGCTCTGTACCTTGCCCACAGGTGTCTGGAGAGTAGCTGATGTAATGCATTGCTCAGTGGAGATGTTCAATGAATATCTGCTGAAAGAACTGATTGACTAATCCCCCCATAGCTCCTGTACCACAGTGGATTTTGGGCATTCTCTCCTGGATTTATCCTGAAATCCTCCAGTAACCCCAAAGGTAGATACGACCTATTACCTTCATTTTACTATTGAGGAAACTGTAGCTCACAGTGAGACTCATTTTCCTAAGGAGGAAGAGGCAGAGCTTGGATTCACCTCCAAGACTGTCCTACTCCAGGGCCCAAACTGTTCCCTCTACCTTCCCCAAACTCTTACTTTCTACCACTAAGTCAGGGCCTCCTGGAGGGAAAGAAAACTGGGCCACTTCCATTCCACAAGGCTTCAGGTACACTTAGAAATGAAGTATTACTAAAACAGGATTTGAAAATTAGCATTTTCACTTTTTTTTTAAGAACAACAGCCTTTTATTTTTAAGTATTTATTTTTTAGTTTTAGGTGGACACAATATCTTTATTTTATATTTATATGGTGCTGAGGATCGAACAAAGTGCCTCATGCATGCTAGGCAAGCGCTCTACCACTGAGCCACAAACCCAACCTCTTCAGTCTTTTTTTAATTATTGGCAGTGCTGGAGACTGAACCCAGGTCCTCATGCATACTAGGCAAATGTTCTACTACTGATCTACATCCCTAGGATTCCCCCAAACTAACATTTTCAAATAGCAACATAAAACTTAGATAGCTTGGGGTTGGGGCTGGAGCTTAGCAGTAGTGCACTTGCCTGGCATGTGTGAAGTACTGAGTTCGTTTCTCAGCACCGCGTATAAATAAATAAACTAAAGAAAGGTCTATCAACAACTAAAAAAATAAAAAAAATTAAAAATAAAATTTACATAGCTCAAAATTAAAATGTGACATTATATGGTTATTCAAAAGTTATATTACTGAACCTATAAAATATATTAACCCATTATTAATTCGTGGTATTTTACAGGTTCTGAGGCTGGGGTGGTCTTGGGGAGCGGTGCAAATTTCAAAGCTTATGATGAGTGCCATCTCGAGATAATGTCAGTGTGTCTGTATAAACTGCTTTGGAGACAGGTCAAAATCCGACTGTGGGTCCTCCTGGCCCACAAGGGACATGGCCTGCCCTGACTGATGACAGCTGGGCTGCATTAAAATCTGGCAAAGAAATCCTGGCTTCCACGTTGCTCACGGTGACGTCAGTACACTGGGGACGTCATGTTGACGTACCCAAGGTGACGACATCACGATGCACTCTGCAGGTGTTCGAGTTACCCACCCAGCCCGACACTCACCTGTCCCCGTCTTCCACGCCCTGAGGGCCGCGACTCTGAAAACGGGGACACAGCAGCTTGCTAGCGCCGAGGCACCCGCGAAGGCCAAAGCGGCCTCCCCGGACCCACACAGCCATGCCCTGGGCCGCTAGTCGGGAGCTGACCCAGCCAGGCCACCGTCCAGGCCCAGGGGATGACTCCACCCACAGCCGCCGCGCCACCGCTCAGATGCCGTTTCCCATTGGTTCGCGGCTCTCGGACCAGGGCGGGACCCTCCTAAAGGACTTGTTTTCCATTGGTTCGCCTAAGGAGAGGGGCGGGAAGACCCTTGACGGCTTGGTTGCGATCCCTATTGGCCAATGCAAGCCAATTCGTAAAGGGGTTCCCGGCTTGCGTGCTCTGATTGGCTGGACGGAAAATAGAGGCCGCCTCCCGCGGGGCACTAGCTCTTGGGGATGGAGGAGACCCGTAGCAGTAGATCAGGCTCCGGAACGAAGGGGCGGCGGCGGCAGCAGGTTAGAAGCTGGGGTCTCAGGACCGGGTGGCGCGAGATCCGAGGCCAAAGTCGACCCCGTGTCGGGCGGCCAGCTTCGTTGGCTCAGTTTCCCCAACTCTGAGAGTCCGTCCTGAGGTGTGAGCAGCCTCAAATCTGGCTGTCCCCCTCCCTAAGAACAGGGATCGCCGTGGTCCTTAGCTCCCAGTGCGACTGAGGTCTTCCGGGAATAAATAAGGTGTCTCACGAAAAGCCTTAAGCGAAGGGTAATTTTGCATTATTTGTAAAAGTGTAAAATGCTACATACCCGGAGACGCAGCAAGGCACTGGCTGCACTTGTTGCAGAAATCTCCGCTGAAGTGTGCAAAACGGGGCAGGACGGGTGTTTCCTGCAACCATGTTTATAATTGTGACACCTTGGAAACTGCCTCAATGTCCAGGAAAGAGTTCTTTTTTGTCCACGATTTCATGGGAATCAATCTCCTCCTCCTCTCTCTCTCTCTCCCTCTTTCCCTCTTCCTTCCTCAATCCCTCCCTTCCCCATCTCCCTCTTCTGCCTGCCCCCCTCTTTCTTGCTGGGTATCAAACATAGGGCCTTGCTCACTGCTCATGCTAGGAAGGTGTTCTACCACTGACCTACCCTCCCAACCCTCATGTGAATTTCTGCCTTCAATAGTAATCGTGATAAAAGAACAAACTAGTAATAATTAGCTATCAGTAATCAAGTGATAACAGTATGCCAGACACTTCTATTTTCTTTAGATTAACTTAACTTTCCCAATGATGTGTTGAGGTAGGTTACATTATTGTCTCTATATAATGTGTGGGTAAACTGAAGTTTGTAGCTATTTAAGTGAGTTAGCAAAGATGATATATCACTGGGGAGTAGAAGAGCTGGCATTTGAACTCTTTTGTCTTTCTCATTTGTCCAGTTGACCGTATTACTGCACTACTTTCAGGTACATAGCAAGTGTTCTTTATGCTGTTGTGGTTGTTACAAAGATGTGCTTAATACGGGCTTCCTCTGAGATCTCTTCCTGCTGTCCTGACATCTAGGCACCTTTGTTCCTCTCTCTGGCTTTCCCTTTCAGGATTCTCAAGAGCCATGTTGTCCAAAGTCCTACTGGTGTCTTCTCCAGGGAAAGTCATCCTTCATGGAGAACATGCTGTGGTCCATGGCAAGGTAAAAATCCCCCAGAGCTTTCAAGGATTGGATCTCACTTCTCCCAGACACTGATCTGGCAAGAAGGTGAAGCAAGGCTCTGAGGCATAGCTTGGGAGCAGATCAGAGAGGAGGCTCATTTCTCCCCGGCCAGATGAGGCAAAGACAGATCTTATGCCCACTGAAGAGCTTCCCTGGCCTCACTCAGTAAGACAGCAAAAGATGATATATGTAAAGCCCTGCATGTGGAATGAAATTACTTTGGAAATGAGCTGATGGACAGGAGAAGATGTTTGAGGACTGAGCACAGGGGCCCTCCCATGTTTAGGAGTTGAAAGATGATCCAGCGAACAAGTCAGAAACATTCATCAGCTCATTTAACCTTTGCACCTACCCCTGGAGGGACATCCCTTTGTTTCCTATTTACAGATGGGAAAGCTCAGGCTTAGAAAATCAATACCCTGACCAAGCTCCCCGCAGCCTGGTAAATGTTGTAGTGAATCAGTTCTGTCTGAACCCAAAGCTCATGCTCATCCACTCATTCATTCCAAGGGCCATTCTTTATGTTCTTATTTATATTTCTCTTTGAGAATGTCGAGATCATGGGGAAGCAAAATTCCTTGGTGTTGAGAACCTCTGAAGTTTTCCATGGAGAAGGCAGATATAAGTGGATATAAACGCCTAATTCAGTGAAAGTGGCTGTGCCCAGGGTCAGTGGGACAGCAGGGCAAAGCTGATCCCCAGGTCTGCCAGGGCATGGGTGGGAGTGGCCTGCGTGCTGGTATTTGCCCTCACTTCCCAGTATATTGACTCTGGTCCCCTCCCCGCCCACCCTCAGGCTAACTACTCTTGCCCTTTACTATACAGGTAGCACTGGCAGTGGCCTTGAACTTGAGAACATTCCTCCGGCTTCAACCCCAAAGCAATGGGAAAGTAAGCCTCAACTTACCAAACATCGGGGTCACACAAGCCTGGGATGTGGCCAGGCTTCAGCTGTTGGACACAAGCTTCATGGGTAAGTGCAAGCCCCAGATGTGAGAAGAGCCTGGGCCCCGGAGAGGGGGAGAGAAGGCACCTGGGTGGGTTCCAGCTGTTCCAGAGGGAGCCAGAAGCAAGCCATTCCAGGGGTATTTTCTATTCTGACCCCATACAATTAGCTTCACTTATTTAGTATGTTGTCTTAATTTAAAAGTGTAAAACTGTGCACCAGATATCTGTGGGCTATCGTGGGTATATTATCAAAGCCTACTGTTCAGTAAAAAAACACAGAATGTAAAATAGCATCCATGCACACTTACTTGAGAGTCAGTGTACGAATGCATAGGAACACATTGACCATGGTAGTGCACTCCAACTACTCAGAAGACTAAGGCAGAAGTGCTGCAGGTTCAAGGCCAGCCTGGGCAACTTAGGAAGGCCCTGCCTCAAAATAAAGTAGAAAGAGGGCTGGGGGTGTAACTCAGTGTAGAGCTTGCCTAGTATGTGCAAGGCCCTGGGCTCAATCTGCAGTACTGCAGGGAAAGAAAAAGGGATAGAAAAATGTGTGAGGTAATAGACATCAAGCTGACCTCTGGGAGGGTCCTAGGGGTTGGGAGTAGACAGAGAGAGCCTTCTATAATGTGGCTTTCAACAAGGAAGATGAATGTGTGAGCATTTTATGTGTCAATTTTTTTTTTTTTTTTTTTTTGGTTCTAGGGATTGAACCCATAGGTGCTTAATCACTGAGCCACATCCCCAGCCCATTTTTATTTTTAATTTTGAGATAGGGTCTTGCTAAGTTGCTGAGGCTGGCTTTGAACTTGCAGTCCTCCTGCCTCAGCCTCCCGAGTGGCTGGGATTACAGGAGTAGAGTGCACCACCATGGCTGGCAATTTAAAATTCTTAAAAATAGGACTGAGTGTAGCTCAGTGGCGCACTGTGTATTTAGCATGCATGAGGCCGCGAGCTCAAACCACAGTGCAAAAAGAAGAACAAAGTATTAACAATGAGAGTAAATTGTGTTTATTCCTAATAGTGAACCCAGCTCTGTCTGAACCCAAAGCTCATACTCATAATTAACAAAATGACAGATGACAAAAAAAATTCACCCATTATTGCTTTTCTCTTTCCCAGTAACCACTCTAAGCAATTTGGTATTAATTCTTCTGAGTTATTTTTTGTTGATATTGAAATATTTAGATTGACGGAGAGAGAGAGAGAGAGAGAGAGAGAGAGAGACCTTGTGTTTTACCCAAAATTGGGTGAGTCTGGCCTGGGGTTGTGGCTCTGTGGTAAAGTGCTTGCTTAGCATGTGTGAGGCACTGGGTTGGATCCTCAGCACTGCATATAAATAAATAAAAGGTCCATCGACAACTAAAAAAAATATTTAAAAATAAACGGGTCAGTCCATTATCCACTTTTCTGGAATGTGTGGGTTTTTTCCTTCAGTGTAGCAGGATCATCTTTCCATGCCCATAAGCAAGGGTGTTGCTCTTGACGACACGGGAAGGCTGTGTCCACCCACAAGCTAGCGTGTAGTGGCTTGTTTTCCTCGGTCAGGGGAGCTGCCACCTGCCCAGAGCTGGAGCTAGTCTCTGCTCTCCCTCTGCGTCTCTCTTCTGGGCCAAGGTCTCATTGTTGGCCGCGACATTCCACAGAAAGCCTTGGGCAAATGAGAATCCCCTTGGGCTTTCTTCCAGACTGTACTTGAACCCTGGGGAACCACAGCTGCTCCCATAGGAGAGGGAATAAGAGTTGGAAGTCTTCGGGCTGTGAGTAGCTCAGTGGGAGAGCTCTGGGTTCAATCAGCACCACCAAAAATTTTTAAAAAATAAAAATAAAAAAATCTTACAGCAGCCAATTTAAACTGTCATGCCTTGGAATCACGGGAGGACATGCTTACTGTGATTTTCACCAATACAGATGGCTTCCTGGCTTGTGCGTCTCCTTTTGAGAGTTGTCAGTGGTAGTAAGGGCTGCGTGTGTATATTTTGAAAGGGGTTCCCTGGGTGATACCAGGACACCCTCAGTTAAGTGCCACTGCCTTGGAGCTTGCCTCAGAAGATGGCCAAGTACAGCACCTGGGACTTGCCTTCTCTGGTGCCCAGGGCCACCCAGCCAGGGCAGACATATTCCCTGAGAACCTGCTGCTGCTTTGGTAAATCAGTAGCATGAGGTGGCAGCAGCCTGGAGAGGCACCTCTCGGACTTCCTAGGTGAGCCTGGCAGGTCACTTCACCTCCCAGGCCCCTGCAAACAGGGTTGGGGGGACGGTGAACTCCAGCGGGGCTGGAGGCTGTGCTGCTGAGCTCAGTGGGTAGGTCAGGGCTGTCCATTGACTTCAGAAGGAGACACAGGAGTCTGAGCCCTTTGGAGACATGTCTAAGAGGTTGCAAGCCTCTGCCACCTTGGGAAGTCCTGGAATTGTCCAGCTCTCCTGGAAGTGGGTGATGTTATTCAAGCCCATTATATGGACGTGAGGATTGGAGTTCGGAGGTCCCATGGCCTGAGCCACCCCATGTGTCAGCACTATAGAGAGGACTCAGATCCAGTCTCCCTGAACTCTAAGCCTGTCGTATCTCCATGCAGAAGTCTGCAGTATCTAGGCCTCTGTCACACCTGTGCCAAGACTTAATAGATGCCCGAAGTTTCCCAACACAGGCACATCCAACTCCACTTGAGACTGCCTTAGAACTTAGCCTGAGGCCCAGAGAGGGATTTGTAAAGATGAACTGGTCAGACTCGCTCAGCCTCCTCGGTCTCACAGTCAGGTGGCCCAGGGTCCTGACTGTCACTGGGAAAAACCTACAACCCCACCTTTCCCTCTTGCCCAACCAACACTGAGCTCAGAATTTCACAACACCTTTCCCAACTTTATCTCCACGGCAACCCTCTGACGAGGTCCCTTGAGAGCAACTGAGGTACAGAGAAGGTAAGTCACATGCTCAAGGCCACACAGCAAGTGGATGGCACAGTTGGGACCCATTCCCAAGCCTGCCCACTCCCGAGGCTCCGGGTCAGTGGGTAGACTCGGCTCTGCTGCTGGACTGTGAACGCATGTCTGTCCCTATTCTGCTTCCCGTGACTACTTGTATGTTGTTTATAAAGGCACCTGAGGCCCCTGGCTCACCTGTGTTTGTGTTTGACAGAGCAAGGTGACGTCACGGTGCCCGTCGCAGAGCAAGTGGAGAAGCTGAAGGAGGTGGCAGACTTCCCTGAGAACTGGGCCGCCACCGAGCGCCTGGCGGTGCTGGCCTTCCTGTACCTGTACCTGGCCATCTGTCGGAGGCAGAGGTGCGCGGGGAGGAGGGGGGCTGCAGGTTCCAGGCACACCCCGCTAGGGAAAGCTCGGCCAAGTTCGGCCGCCGCCTCGGTCTCTGTGGGGGGCAGCATCGGCTGTCCTCACCTGTGCCCAGCACCCTCCAGATGCTCTGTAGATGGCAGCCCGAGGACAGGGCACTACCTGTTTTACACCCGGGGAAGCCAAAACTCAGGGACATAAGGACACAGTCCTTCAGCACGTTGGGAGGACACTGCTCCGCCTTCTGCCCGCTCCACCCCACACGTCCCTCCCCGTTCTCTTCAGTCAGTGGGGCCAGCGCCAAAGCCTTCTCGGGTCTGCAGGTGGCCTCTCCGTGGCTCGGCTGAGGGTCCACATCTTACTGGTCAGCAGAGCAAACCCTGTGTCCCTTCCACTCTTACCCTAAGATGTAGGGAAGCCAGCTCCTGAGGGTGACAGTACTGTTAGGCGATGTCACACTCGACAGGCAGACGGCGTGGGTTCAAGCTCCCGCTGTGCCGCTTCGTCCCCAGAGCCCGCTCCCCTGTGCGCACAGTGGGTGTGGCAGAGGACCTGCTCCTGGTTGTTGCGGCTCGGTTTCTCTGAAGTGCTTGGCGCGGAGCCTGGCCCGGCGCTCCTCAATGCTATGTTATGGATAATCCCACAGAAAACAGGGAGGTTGGAAACCCATCAGGGCTGGGCTGGGGCTCAGGGGCAGAGCGCTTGCCTTGCATGTGTGAGGCACTGGGTTCGATCCTCAGCATCGCATATGAATAAATGAATAAAGTAAAGGTCCATCGACCATTAAAAAATATTTTTAAAAATCCACATAAAATGGACTTAGCACTGTGCCTGGCACACAGTGAGGATACAGTATATTTTTTTTTTTTAAATGCGGAACACAGCGAGCAGCAAATACCGGCTCAACTTCTGGCTCATAGTCTGGCTCAGCATCCCCTGTGCTGAGGACACATTCGTAAATGCCAACACTTGGTGTCTCATGCAGGGATTTTTTTTTTGGTACTGGGTCTTAAACCCAGGGGTGCTTAACCACTGAGCCACATCCCCAGCCCTTTTTATTTTTTATTTAGAAACAGGGTCTTACTAAGTCGCTTAGTCCCTCGCTTTTGCGGAGGCTGACCTTGAACTTGTGATCCTCTGGCCCCAGCCTCGGAGCCTCTGCTTAGCGCAGGGGTTTTCAGCTTGGGAGGGGCGTGTCCTTGAGTAGGTGGGAGTCTTTCAAAACCCCCCACCCTGGGGAGGGGCGGCAGGTGGATCTGAGAAGGCTCTTGGGGCGTTGTCATTTTTATATGTGGCAGGTGCTTTACTGGCAATTACTGAGCATGAGGTTGACAGGTGTCGCTTGGGGTACCCTTAAGATGTGTGAGTCCAAACTTTGTGGTGATCCACAGCAGACCTGGCTGCACGTGCTGGGGAGAGCTCTCTGGGGGACAGGCCTCCCCGGGAGTGTTCCACCAGGTGTGCCGCAATGAGGTGACATGGGGAAGGCCACCTGTGGGGATCCTGGAGGGCAGCTCGGAGTGGCCTTGTGGGTGGTCCAGAAGGATCACAATGGAAGTGACATCTGAGAGGGTCTTGAAGGATGGGTCGGGGTCTCTCGGGGGCAAGAAGAGGTACGAGGGCATCACTGGCCGAGGCCCAGCTGGGGCCAAGAGCAGGGCGGTGAGGCCTAGCAGGAGGGAGCAGGAAGGCCGTTGTAGGGGGCTTGGTGGTCAGGAGGACCTGTAGGGACAGCTCTGGGTGGACGGTGCAGTGGCTGAGTGGACCTGGTACAGATTTCCCAGTTGTCTAATCCACCAGGAGCACACAGCATCCAACCGGGAAGGCTCCGGGGCCAGGAAACCCTCCTGACTTCAGAAAACTGGGCCAGACGTAGAGTCTGAACCTGGTCCCCGGCCCTAGACTCAGTCTTGGCACCTCGCCGTCCGTCCTTGTACGAGAGTCCCACTTTGCACCGGCCTGTTGCAGGGCCCTGCCAAGCCTGGACATCACGGTGTGGTCGGAGCTGCCCCCCGGGGCCGGCCTGGGCTCCAGCGCCGCGTACTCTGTGTGTCTGGCTGCCGCCCTGCTGACCGCATGTGAGGACATCCCCAACCCGCTGGAGGACAGCGCGCACACCAGCAGGTAACCGTGGTCCGTGTCCTTCCTGGGTGCCAGGCCCTCGCCAGGAGTCTCCTCAGGACCTCGTCACCACCCTCTGTGGCACGAGGTGTCATGGGCACTTCACAGGTGACGAAGCTGAGGCCCACAGAGACCAAGCAGGGTCCACACAGCTAGAGGCAGCAGAGTGGGGTTGGAGCCCCGGCTGTCTGAACCCGGAGTCTGAGCCTTCGCCCCTGTGCTGAGCCACTTCTGCGCCCACCCTCACCCCCTCTGGGCCCTTTGAGGGCCTGTGTGCGTGGTGGGAAGAGCTCGAGTCAGGTGTTGGTGGCCATAGGTCGGATGGACCCTCTCACTTCTGACTCACTTCCCGAGGCTGGGCCTGGTCACTCTGCCTGGTACGAGAGTGCCCACGGGTCACAGTGCGGTCGAGCCAGTCGGTTATGAAGAAAGGCGTGACGTGCCCGAGCAGATCAGAAGGCGGCTGCTGAGGGGCGTCTCCTGGTGTCCTCGCCTCCCGGGGGCTGTGGCCTGGCCTCACTGTGGGGCACCTCTTCCGTCACTTGGAAAGGCCCCTTGAGACACCACCCAAGCTCAGTGGCCGTGGCCTCGTCCTGGCCTCGTGGGTTGTGAAAAAGGCCCCAGAGTCCCCACGGCTTCATCGTGGGGCGTCCCCTGGGCCCATGTGGCTTGGGGACCCGCCCAGCTGGGGACTCAGGGCACCAGCCGTGTGGTGCTGGCCGCCGTGACCATCAGGTGGACTGCTGGGCTAGTCTGGTTCCTCCAGGTGCGTGGGGCGTCCAGTGGAGGGAGCTGTCACCACCCCAAGTGTCTCCACACCTCGCAGCCTTCGGCAGGCCACAGAGAGGAGCGAGGCCAAGGACACGAGGGCCCCCTGTGGCTGGAGACTCTGTCCTCTGCCTGAGTTTGTTCTGATCGAGTTTTTCTCTCTGGCACAGAGAGGCTGGGTTTCTGTCCCCCAGCCCTGGAGGCGCCAGGCAAGGCTCCTGTCCCATCCACTTGTCCCCTCCCGGAGACGTGCAGGTTGAATTCAGCTGAATCCAGCTGGAGCCCCAGGACACCTGGGTCCTCACTGCCCCCATGGAGCTGGAGTCCGACAGAAGGGTTCCCTGGGTGGGGACAGGGCAGCAGCCGCCGTGGGTCAAGGGAGAAATCGGCAGGAGAAGGGATGGCGCCTCTGGGCAGCGCTGTTCTCCAGGGTGTCGGTGCTCTGCCTGTGAACTGGCCGCGTAGCCGGGGTGACTCCTCTCCGGGGCTCCCTGTCCTCATCTGGAAGTCGGGGACGGGACCCGAGGCTCCCTTGTGGGGGTCTTCTGTCCTTGGCATTTGGCCATCCTGTGACAATTGCTGCTCATAACCAGATCAGTGAAGGCCGGTTCCCGGGTCCCTGACCACACGCAGGCCAGCATCCGGCAGAGGTGGCTGTGTGTGTGAGTGACACAGGCACAGGTGTGGTCTCTCATGCAGCCTTTGGCCTCTGTGGACCTGTCATTGCCCCGCCCCACCCGCACCCTGGCTTCTCCTGTCTGAAGGACAGGCCCAGTTCTCTCTGGAGCCTTGAGGCTGAGCCCCTGGGGCAGGGCCTGCAGTGGAGGGGAGGAGGGGAGGCCCACTTGCCCAGAGGGTCAGCCTCTGAGGGAGGTCAGCCGCCAGCTCCCGTCCCTCTCCATCCCTGCTGCTTCCCAGGCAGCCGCTGCCCCTCAGTCCCTAGCCCAGCTCCAGGCGTGGCACCAGCAGGGCCCTCTGGCTGGGGTGCCGTCCCCTGCCTCTGTCTGGCTGCCCTCTGCCCCCATTTGGCATTGCGCTTATCTAAGGGCTCATTTGGGAGTTAAATATTGCAATGTGACTCGTCTGTTTGTAACTAAAAATCGATTGCTTGCAGCTCCCTGTTCACCATCATGTTCCAGGCTCCAGGAAGTTGGCAGCCATGTCTCTTTTAGCTCCTGGCAGTGAACTTAGTTACGGGTCTATACTAGTTGCTCAAGAAGTACAAACGGGTGAGCGAGCAGATCTCAGCACCATAGAGTTTCATGGCGCAGAGCTCAGGCTCCAAGTTGGCAGAGGTGATTCTGGTGTAGCAACAGGTACACTGCGATCTTGGAGAGGATATTTTGCCCATCTGAGCCTGTTTCCCTTCTGGGTGAAAGGGGGTCATAGTGGTAGCTTCCCTGCAGGGTTACTGAGAGGATGGCAGGAGCTGGTCCATCTGAGAAGACACTGAGCACAATCCTCAGTACTTGGTACTCAATGGTATTGACCAGTGTTAGCTCATCTTGAGTCAGAGCCACAACCAGCGCATGAGGCACATGAATCCTCACTTGGCAGGTGAGGAAGGAGACTCGGGAGATACGTGTATATACATATGTGTAGGTAGACTCAGGAGGGAGATACGTATATAGGTGGGTATAAATACACACACACACACATACATACATACAGATACACATACATATACACATCTTGTGGGGCCGTACTGGGGATTGAACCCAGAGGCTCTTTATCCCCAGTCCTTTTTTTGCTTAGGGCCATGCTAAGTTGCTGAGGCTGTCCTTGAACTTGTGATCCTCCTATCTCAGCTTCCCGAGCCACTGGGATTACTGGGGATTACAGGCCAGGCCACTGTGCCTGGCCCCAGTCCTTTCTTATTTTTGAGGCAGGGTCTTGCTTAGGGCCTCACTAGGTTGATGAGGCTGGCCTCAAACTTGCGATCCTCCTACCTCAGCCTCCCGAGTCCCAGGTTGCTGACATGACAGGCGCATGCCATCGCCCCCTGCTCAGAGGGGATAATCAACTCAGCCAGGGCTCTCCAGCAAATGCAAGGCAAGTGCTGTCCCACTGGCCACGTCCCCAGCCCTTGAACTGGGTTTGAGGGCATCAGGAGCTGTGATCCCTGCTGGTGTGTTTTGGGAGCACCTACTGTCCCCTAGGGGAGCACCTACTGTCCCCTAGGCATATGCAGGGACTCATGGGTTCTTCCCAAATCACGGAGAAGTTGGGGCGAGAGCTGGAGCAGTTGTGGGGGACGCTGGGTTCCAGCCAGCTCGCCACATCAGCCCCTGCCCTGCCCTGAGCCAGCCCTTCGCAGAGGCTGCACAACCGCCTTGGCCGCTGCTGTTCCGTGGGGAAGGGAATCCGCAGGGAGGAAACTGGTGGGCCGGGCTGCTCACCTCTCCTGTCCCCACGTGGTGCTTGGGGTCTGTCCACATGGGCAGGGACTGAGCCCTCGCCCACTCTGTGGAGGGCTCCTTGTGCTTTGGGGAGGTTCAGAGACGGCGGGTGCCAGCCTGGCCCCCCAGGGCCTTCTGGGGCACCTGGGTGGGGTTGGCGGTGGCTGGTTTGGCTGCTCGCGGGGCGTGAGTCCTCCCCCTGCAGCTCTTCCTGAGCTCCAGCTCGGCTCAGGAGCAGGCAGGGGTCCCCCAGTGACAGAGACCGCCCACTGCGTGTGGACGCCTTACGGGGCACTGTGCCAGCCTTGGCCACACAGGTCCACAGCCCCAGGGAGGGTGGAGCTGGGCTTCTTCCACTGAGGGAGGCAAGGACCAGAGCAGTCAGGCAGCTGGCCCAGAGTCACTCAGCTAGAAAGTGGCACTGTGGGGACCCCAGCCGGGCTTCGCCACTGCGCCGGGCAGCTTCCAAGGGAAGGGACAGGAGGTTCCGCCTGCTCTCGAGCCGAGCGGTCAGCGCCGTTGGCTCTGCTTCCTGGGTTTGGGGCCCAAGCCCTGCGCCTCTCGTGCTCCACCCTGCACGGGCCACCGCTCCGGCCCTCTGCTGCCCGAGGTCACCCCCGGTCCCCACTGACCACCACATGCTGAAGGTGTGTTTCTGTGTCGCCAGGTGGTCCGAGGAGGACCTGCAGCTCATCAACAAGTGGGCCTTCCAGGGGGAGAGGGTGATCCACGGGAACCCCTCGGGAGTGGACAACGCCGTCAGCACGTGGGGTAGGTGACCTGGGCCCGCCTCCTTGCTCTTCGTGGAGTCTCGCTGTGTTCCCAGACCCCCGGCCCCGTGGGCTTGGGAGGCGGGAGTCCGCGGGTTCTGAGCAAGACGGTGCTTCCCGCCTTCCTCGCACCCTCCCTCAGGGCCTGGTGGGGCCGGGCGGCCACCCCTGTGGGGAGCAGGCTGGGTGCCCTCTCGCCAGGCCTAGATGCCAAGGCCCAGGCTCCGGCTTTGCTGGGTGGCCCGTGGAGCCACACTGGGTGACGCGGAGGAGGAGGGGGCTCCTGGAGTCCCCGTAGGCCTTCCTGCCTCCTGGCCCACTTGCAGCTGGGCTGGGTGACCAGCTGTCCTGCTTTGCTGGTCCCCTGGGGGCCAGCCTGGGGCACAGGCAGCACTCCCTCGAGCTCTGACGCTGGCTTCTTCCCCAGGGGGAGCCCTCCGCTACCAGCAGGGGAAGATCTCGTCCTTGGACAGGTAACTGGGCAGGGGCTCGGCTGCGTCCTTCCCCGGGCCACGCTGTGGGGGTGCTGCGTCTGATCAGCTGCACCCGGGCAGCTGTCCCTGCGCTCCCGCCCCTGCGTGGCCTCATACTGGCTGGCAGTGCCCTGGGAGCAGCGAGGAAGGCCTGGCTCTGGACCCTTAGCTCGCAGATGGCCACGCGTGGCCGTCCTGCCACCTTCCAGAAGGCAGCCATTCCCACAGACCCCTGGCTGCAGGTTTGTCTGTCCATTTACTAAACAAGAGTTGGGACTCTCCCCGTGCCCCTGGTGACCAGTCCTGGAGCCTGGCAAAATAGAGGGGACTCTCAGTCTGAATGGGGGATGGACAGACAGACACAAAGCCCTCTATGGGACAGCGAGGGTTCTGTGACGGGGCGCAGGCCAAGGCAGGACTGAAGCCTACTTCTGGGAGGCTTGAGAGAGGCGCTGACAGAGGGGACATTGGCGATTCACCTGTTTTCTGGGTCTTTCCCCCTCCTTCTGGAGCCACTGGAACCCAGGTGCGCAGTCACAGTTCAACACCCTGCGTTCTGTGGGCACCCTGGTGAGGCGCCAGGTGCCCGGGCCCAGACGGGTGGCAAGCGGGGGACTCTGACCCTCCAAGTTGGGCAGCAGTGTGTCCCAGGGACCTTGCTGCTGCCTCCAGGCCCTTCTGTGTCCCTTCCTTCTTTACTCAGGGAGTCTTCTCTGCATCTGGGCAGCAAGTCCAGGTCTCTGCCCTGGCCAGAGTCAGTGGACTGAGTGTCGGCCCCTGCCCTCAGGAGCCACGGGGACGGGCAGAGGCAGCCATGGCTGTTGTGGTCAGAGCAGAGGCAGCCGAGGGCTCGGAAGCTGCGGATGGCCCTCAGGGGTGGTGGCCTTTCATTCACCTGGTTCCCAAGAGCCAGTTGTACCTAAGCATGGGACCTGCCCCATAGATGGACACCCCCACCTCTGCAGGGGACAGGGGAGCCCCTGTCAGCCGAGCCACGACAAAGAGGCTGTGGGGTCCCAGGCCTGGGTGTGCGCCCAGCCATGTCCTAGGCAGCCGGTGCCCCTGGGAAGTCACTCTCCCGAGGTCCATCTTGTCACTTGCATGTGAGAAGCGCCATCCCAAAGTGCCTAACTGCTGACCAGACAGACCCACCCTTCCCCAGGTGTCACCGAGCACCTGCTAGTGCTGAGCGCTGCGGCCTCGAGGGAACTGCCTCCCTGGGCCTCACCTTGGGAGGAGACAGCCACCAAGTAAAATGCTCCAAAGGGCTTGTCGGGCAGTCCCCAGCGCCTGGGGCCACAAAGCTGGGCCAGGAGCTAGAGCTGAGGGGGCTGATGGGATGCTGTCCTGGGGGCCGGAGGGGCCTCTGGGAGCCACAGTGGACAGGGCCCCAGGGGGCTGAAGAGTGAGCCGCACGGCTGCAGGGGCAGCGAGGCTCTGGCAGAGTAAATGCAAGTGCCAGCCCCTGAGGCAGGGGACAGCCAGGGGGCCAGGGTGACGGGGAGTGAGGAGACGAGGCTGGGGGCGGCCAGGCCCACATTGCCGAAGCGCTTCCAGGGCAGAGCCCTGAGCCATGGCCGCTGGGTGTTGGCCGCTGTGTTCGTGGGCTGGAGGTCCCTTGTCAGAGGACTCTGAGAAGGATGAGTTTCCGTGGGCGGGGACAGAGTGGGGACCTTTGCTGCTCACGGCAGGGCACTGCAGTGAACAGATGGCAGGTCCCCTAAGGGGCCGGGGGGCCGGGCTCCACCTTGATCCCGGGGTGGCGCAGAGGAGCCCTGGTGCCCCATCGGGGGGAGCTTCTCCCTGGGAAACACACTGTCTGTGGGTCACCACGCCTCCAGGAGCTGCCCTTTTGAGCAACGACTTGTCTTTAAAGGGAAGAGAAAAGCCAAATAGAATGTTCATCTTTTGTGAAGTTAAAAAAAACAACAACAAAGCGAGCCAACCTGGGGCTGGGGATCGATATTAATTTCATGGGCTCCTGGCGGCGAGATAGAGCCGTCCCCGGCAGCCTTTCCCAGCCCCGTGGGTTTTCCAATCTGGAACTGTGAAGCCGTGAACCACGGTGTCGTGGGTCCCCGCTCCTGCAGCCCGCTCTGCCACCACGCGTTCCGAGGCTCCGCCCTCCGTCCCCAGCCTGCAGCGCTCCAAAAAGGGGGTGGCTCAGGTCCCCGTGGACAGTGTCCTACAGAGCAGTCGGGCTCAGGAGGGTCTAGGGGTCTTGCTGGACATATCCGTTCCCTTCCCTGGGTAGCCCAGAGGGAGATGGACTCCCTGTAACCACAGCCATTTGGTGCTTGGCCACTGGTCTGGGGGCCACCCGTCTGGGGGCCACCGAGGTCAGGTAGGGCTGGGCTGCTGTGCTGGAAGCCATCCTCAGCATCCGGCCTCCTGCTGCCGTCCTGCGCACTAGCTCCGTGATGCTGCTTCGGTTGGAGCATCCCTGACCCCAGACTCCGAAATCTGCCCTGAGCTTAGAAACTGCAGAGGTTGCAGCCTTTTGGATTTCGGATTCTCTGATCAGGGAGTTTGTGCATATTCCCAAACCTGGACAACCTGGAGTCTGAGACACATCTGGCCCCACGCTTTAGGAGAAGGGACCCTCGACCCGCACCCGCGCTAGCTGTTGTGCACGTACCACCTGCCACCCTGTACCCCCTGCACCTCGCCAGCAGGACCCGTCCTGGTCGTGTTGCTGCTGCGTCTAAATCCCCAGCACCCTCTGCTCCGCTCCCTGGTGGCCACGTGACTGAGCCCCCGCCTTGCACCCTCTGCTGTGGCCACTTGGAACTTCTACCTAGATGCCCCCCCGCCCCCGCCCACCTCCTCCAGACTTTGCACACGGCACTCCCCTGCTGGAAATATTTGCCCCCCCCCCCGGCCCTGGGTGATTCTTACCCCTCCCATCTCAGCCACTTGGCAGCCGACTCCAAGGACCTTCGCCTCCTCCCCTCCCTGCCCCCAGTCCCCAGGCTGAGCTGGGTTTCCCCAGGTGGCCCAGCACACAGGTGCCCCGCTGAAATTGAATGCATGACTGTGTGAGTGAAGAGCCAGGGGCGGAGGGGAGAGGAGCTGTGGCCAGGGACAGGAGCTCTGTGCCCCCCAATCCAGTGTCACCTCCCTGGGCCTCTACTTCCTCTTGTCTGTCAGGGTGGAGTTCTGGGTCACTGTCTGTCCTGGTGCAGCTCCTCCTTCCTGTCTCCTCTCCACCCTGCAGGACCCCAGCTCTCCAGATCCTGCTCACCAACACCAAGGTCCCACGAAGCACCAAGGCCCTGGTTGCTGGTGTCAGGAACAGGCTGATCAAGGTGCTTCTTGGCCTCCTCCTGGGTGGGCTTCGGGGAGGGCAGGACACAGTCATGTTTGGATTTGGAGCTGTCCTTCTAGTTGATGGGCTTTGGAGGGGTGCGTAGGTGGGACAGGGAGACCTGGGGAGGCAGTTTTGACAGAAAAGGAGGTGCTGTGGGTGCTTACAGTCTGGCCGGAAGGCAGGGTGGGCATTCCTGAAGCAGGTGATGGGGGTCGTTGGCCACGTCAGCTCTGCAGCCCGGAGCCACTCCTGACGTGGCAGCCTGGGGCAGGGTGGACAGCGGCCTGGAGGGAGAGCAGGCGGACCCGGGATGGCCCCTCACCGGCCGCCTACCTTCCCCGCAGTTCCCAGACATCGTGGAGCCCCTCCTGACCTCCGTGGACGCCATATCTGCGGAGTGCGAGCACGTGCTGGGAGAGATGGCCTCGGCGCCGGCCCCCGAGCACTACCTCGTGCTGGAAGTAAGAGCTGCAGCCGCCCTGAGGGACAGGGCGCAGGACAGCCGGGCCCGCTTGGGCTGGGGCTCAGGGAGACCCCGGCTGCTGCGGCCTCAGGCTCCGTCAGCCTGGCCCCGTCCTGCGTCCCTGCTGCCTGCCCGTGTCACCAGCTTTGGGTCAGGCAGGCTCCAGACCTGTTCTGTGGTCGGTCACCCCCGTCATTTGCATAATCCTGTGACCCCCACTTGGGACCCCGCTTTGCTTGGGGCAGGCTGCTGTCTGAGTCCCCCACCCCCGAGTGCTCCCTGCTGCAGGCCACAGGCCCTGAGGTCCCACGGCGCCTGGCGCCACCAGCTCCGTGAGTCAAAGGGCTGCTCCCCTGACACGGCCCGTCTGGCCCAGCGGAGGTGGACTGCTGTGGACGGCCATCTGCTTCCCTCCAGCGAGCGCCCTGGCCCCAGCCCTGGCTCTGCAGCAGTGGTCACAGGGGTCCCTCAGATGGGGCCTTGGGCCCTGCGGCTCGCCATTCCAGGGCGCCCTGGGGCAGAGGAGCCACCGTCCACCACTCAGTCCCGTGGAGGAGCCGGTGGCGCGGATGCCCAGGGCAGGTAGAGGGCTCCGTGTGGGATGCGCAGCGCTGAGGGGCACCTCCGGCCCTGACCCTTTCCTGGGTTCCCTGCCTGGCGCCTCCCTGCCCAACTCCTGCAGGTCCCTGGTGACCAAGGGAGGCTGCCAGGAGGCCGGGCCTTCACAGATGAGCTCTCCTTCTGTCAACCTGTGAGGCGGGCGGATTGCCCATGTGACGTGTGAAAACGGGGCGAAGCCAGGCATGGTGGGAGGCTGAGGCGAGAGGCGTGCAAGTTTGAGGCCAGCCTCGGCCACTTCGAAGCTCTGTCTCAAAATCTTTAAAAAGGGCTGGTGACATGACTCAGTGGTAAAGTGCCCCTGGTTCAATCTCCAGTACTGAAAAAAAGAAAAAGAACAAAAAGACAAACCCGAGGCCTAAAGAAAATGGCTTCCTCCTAGGTCATCCAGCCAGTGAGTGACCGAGCCAGGGTCAGCAAGCCTGGCTCATGCATTACTTCACTCAGCAGAGCTTTAATGAGCACCTACTATGTGCCAGGCTCCAGGAGTCTGTTAATTCCCCAGCCTTTGCCTTCCTGGCTCTCCATTCCTTCCACGTAGAAAGGAGGAACAGTCCCCTGAGAAGGAAATTAATAATGACAGAGCACTGCTCAAACGTACCCCGTCGGCCCCGAGAGCGCCGCGAACAGCGAGCTGATTATACGCTGTGTGTATTTTGGGCCGTGGCAGCTGCTGGAGTGTGCAGCTCTGCTCCTGGGCAGCTTTCACTCCAACCAGCGAGCTGTTCTCCTGTGTCACAACCTGTCATCTGATCCCTGACAGATTTGGGATCAGAATGTGACAGGTGTCTGGAACCTGCCTTGGCAACCTGACACCTGGCGCTCAGGCGCAGGGTGGGGGCCCAGAGTCTTCTCACATGCAGCCAGTGGGGCTGGTGGGAGGCGCGGGGGCTGCCACTGGGGCCATCATACCTGTCTGTCCGTCTGTCACAAGTGCTGGGCGAGTGGGAAACGGGGGTGGGGACCCCAGCCTCCCGGCTGCCTGCTGGGCCCCACCTCCAGGTGGCTGTAGCGGAGATGCCTTGGTGGAGCAGCGAGCCCGGAGCTGCGGGGTTCCCTGGAGAAGAGGGGGCGGGAGCCCAGGGGCGCTGGCCAGCAGGTCGTGGGCTCCATGTCAGGCAGTAGCGCTGAGTCAGCACCTGCTGGCACCGTGACCTTAGGCAGGTCACGCTCTACCTCAGTTTCCCCCTTGGTAGAATCAGGATGGTGGTGACGGAGCCTCTTCTCGGAAGACTCCCCGCAGTCACCTGTGGCAGTGAAGCAGAAGACCCCTATAATCTCTGTGGCCCGGAGGAGACAGGCTCAGAGCCACGGACCTCCCCAGGGACACACGACCAAGGAGAGGCCAAGATGAGGCCCCAGAGCCCAAGCACAGAGCCCAGCGAGCTGTGTGCACTTGGCAAGTGACGTGTGAACAGTGGAGCCTGATATGTCATTGTTTATCCACCTGCATCTTGCTGGGTCCTTGGAGAACAGGGATCTTATTTTGCATAATCGAAAAAACTAGACAGATATTTAGCTGTCCCCCACCCCCACCCCGCCATGAGCCTGCAGTAGATGCGGCCTAGTTGGTATTCTGCTCAGTCTCTGAGGCAGCTGCAGGGTGGCATATTATTTGTGACTTTTTCCTCTTGCAAATGACAGGAATCCGTCTCAGCCAGGTGTTAGCAGAAAAGATATTTATTGGCTCCAAACGGAGGAGACCAAAGCTTCAGGCACTGCTTGATCCAGCAGCTGAAACACTGTGTTGGGAACCTGTCTTTCGTGCCACCTGTGGCACATGGCAGGCAGAGAACTCTGAAGGCCCGTGTCCCACGATCACTAACTTTAGCAGCTCTAGTGGAAAGAGGTAGAGAAAACCCGGTCGACCCAACTTGGGTCCCATGGCCATCCCTGAGCAGTTGGAGAGGGTCAGTTTCCTGGGCAGGGCCCGGATGAGAACAGGAGGGTGAGCTCAGCTCTTTTCAGGCCCCATGGGAAGTCCTGCAGGTAGGAGGGGTTCTTGGGGGCTGTGCCTGGTAGTCAGTGCCTTAGCTGGCTCATCAGTGGGCAGGAACCAGTGGACTGTCCTCCCCAGGAGCTCATCGACATGAACCAGCACCACCTGAATGCCCTGGGTGTGGGCCACGCCTCCCTGGACCAGCTCTGCCGAGTGACTGCGGCCCACGGACTGCACAGCAAGCTCACGGGGGCAGGCGGCGGTGGCTGCGGCATCACGCTCCTCAGGCCAGGTACCTGGGGGCAGGGCTTAGGCTTCACCTGGAGAATTCCCTTGGGGGGCAGAGGCCTAGGGATAGGTTTCAGCTCGGCTGTATGTCCTTGGGCAAATTAATCAACCTCTCTGGGCCTTTGTTTCCGGATGGTAAAGCATCAAGTTGCCCAGATTCAAAGAGAAACGTGCAGTTAGAGAGCCTGGCTCGGGGCTGGCCCGGGTAGTGCTCCTGTCATGGTGGCTGCTCCTGCCTGTGGCCTGAGAAAGAGCAAGAATGGGGTCTCCACCTTGTCAGCCTCTCTGTGCCCCACCCCACTCTTGACTTGGCTACAAGACGAAGGGGTCTCCTCCTTCTCCTTGGCCTCCGGGGAGGAGCAGGGCCCTGGGAAGGGCTGCAGGAGCCCCTGATGCCGGCTCCTGGTTCAGGGCTGGGGACAGTGACACTTCTGGAGCGTGCGCGTGAGGTCCCAGACGCCGGGCCAGGCATGTCATCTGCGGTTATTCCAGCTCAGCCTCCCGGGAGGTATCGCGGTGTCATTGTCCCCATTCCCAGGGAGGAAACGCCACCTGGCCAGTGTGTGGCAAGGCTGGCTCCGTGGGACGCGCGCCTTTTTAAACTTTTTGGTGGTTTTTTTTTTTTTTTGAGGGGGGGCTCTGCCACTGAGCTACATCCCCAGCCCTTTTTATTTATATTTTCAAGTTTCATTTATTTATTTTAGTTGTGGATGGATCTTTATTTTTTATTTATATGCAGTGCTGAGAATTGAACCCAGTGCCTCATGTTTTTGAGGCAAGTGCACTGCCACTGAGCCACGACCCCAGCCCCAGACCCCCAGACCCCAGTCCCCAGCCGCCCAGCCCCCAGCCTCCCCAGCCCCCAGTCCCAGCCACGGCCACCCCCCGGCCCCCAAACCCCCCAGCCCCCACCCCTCTTTATATTAAGCCAGGATCTCGCTAAGCTGTCGGGGCTGGCCTCTGTCTTGTGACCCTGCCTCAGCCTCCCAGGTCACTGCGGTTGCAGGGTGGCCGTCACAGCCCGCTCCATGACCCCCAGGAGGGTGCGTGGCTCCGAGTGCCAGCACAGGGGGGCTGCGGTGGCCTCTTGAGGCCCAGGCCTTTGGCCCAGGACAGCAGGGCAGGAACCCTGTCCCCAGCCTTTGCCCCGAGTGGCATGATTGTCCTCTTTGGTGGCAGGCAGAGAACTGTCAGTGGTGACCTGCCTTCCCTCCCCCCAGATCTGGAGCAGGACAAGGTGGAGGCCACAAAGCAGGCCCTGGCCGCCTGCGGGTTCGACTGCTGGGAGACCAGCATCGGTGCCCCTGGAGTCTCCATGCACTCGGCCACCTCCCTGGAGGGACATGTCCATCAAGGCCTGGGCATCCTCTGAGAGGGGCCCCAACTTCACCGCTCTGCAGAGAAGCCCCTCTGTATTTCTGCGGGAGCCACGGTCGGCCTCTGGGCAGCCCCACAGCGTCCAGCTTCTGACTTGACCGGAGGCTCCAGCCTCCATGAAGCCTCTGCTGGCCACCACCTGCCTCCCCTCCAGCCAGCCAGGAGGGGCCAGGAGCGGCCGCTGGGGCCTCCTCCCCAGGTCCCGCTCCCATGGATCCATCTGCCCGGGCCACGCCTTCACCCTTGGACATCCCAGTGCTGGGCCAGACGGGGGCTGGGGTTGAAGCCTTCCGGCCTGGTGGGCTGTCTTCACCTTCCAGGCGTTGGAATGGGCCGCCTGTGCCCCCTGCCCTCGGGGACAGCTGGCTGGACTTGCCTGGGGCCAGCTGCTGATGTCCGCCTCCTGCCCCGGGCCAGGGCTGGCCGTGTGAGTGGTGCACAGCGTCCCCCAGTCTGGGGGCCTCGGACAGGAGATGGCCGCGGGGAGTTAACAGACTTGGGACAGTTCCACGAGGCTCCGCAGACCCCCGGCTCCCCCAGCTGTGCTCAGTGGAGCGTCGCAGGAGGGAAGGAAGCGGGGCCTGGTCAGCGGGCGGTGTCTCAGGGTCGGTGGGTTTCCCCAGGTGGCCCCTGCTGAACAGGGCCGGGTGTGTCTGCCGACACGGCACACTGTCCGCTGGCACAGCCCCAGCTGCTGTCTGGCAGGGAATGTCAAGCTCCTGGCCCCGGGGTCCCGAGCACCCAGCAGTGTAGTGGCGTGGGCCTCGGGCAGGGAGAACGCAGCAGCCGCTGGGTCAGGCCCAGCTTCTGAGATCAGCCCCGGGCAGAGTGGACGCACCGGCCGCCCCGCCTGGCCCCTCCCGGCCCTGGGTGAGCTCGGTCCCCAGGCAACGCGGCTGATCCACAGAAGGCCCTGGAGCACCAGGCATGGAGGCGCACACCTGTGACCCCGGCGGCGACTGGGGAGGCCTAGGCAGGGTCACAAGTTCAAGGGCAGCCTCAGCAAAGCGAGGCCCCAAGCAACTCAGTGGGACCTTGTCTCTAAATAAAAAAGGGCTGGGGTGTGCTCAGGGGTTCAGCGCCCTGGGTTCAGTTCCGGTACTGAAGAGAGAACCCGCGGAGCAAGCTCATTGCCAACCCGTGGTGCCCATTGCCACAGGGGTGACGGGATGTGGTTCCAGGCTCACTGCGCGTCTGCCCTTGGCCGCTAGGGGGCAGCTGGCGCCTTTCCCAGCTCCGTCACAAGGAGGGTGGCTGGGAGCTGAGTTGGACCTGGCCCGAGGAGAGGCTGGGCACCACCCAGCACCAAGCCCTGCCCTGAGGGGTCACTTCCAGGAATGTGGGAGCACTATGGAGGCACCCAACCCAGCTTGACTTGTAAAGGTGGCCCCAGCATCATGGGACTCCCTGCCCCTGCACTTCAAAACAAATAATGCATAAACAATGCTAATTCTGAGCACTTCCCATGGAGCAGGCAGTTTCTAAGCACTGTACCTTCATCATTTCTTTTACTTTCTATCCAACTTCAGAGCAGAATCACTAGTGTCATCCCCATTTTATAGATTAAGAAACTGAAGCCCAGAGAGGTTGATTAAGTTGTCCAAGGTCACACAGTCATCAGCATCAGAGTCAGTCAGGCTGGCTCCAGAGCCTGCCCCATCTGGCCTGGCCCAGCTCTGCACACAGGTGTCCTACCACACGGTTCCTCTTGCCTGTGCTCACGCTCATCATTTCCTCTGTTTTTTGATGTACTTGGTCAGGGTAGGTGTGAGGCTTGGTGGTTTTTCTACCCACATGATGTGGATGAGCTGTTGGTGGCGAGCATGCTGATTGACAGCCGGTCTCTCAACGGTCAGAGGCCAGGAAGATTTGGGGCCTCCCCAGGCATCCTCAGCGCCCACAGAAGCTTAGAACTGGAGGTTGTGCAGCGCCAAGGCTCCCAGGGCCTGCCTCTTTGCCATCCCCCAGAGACAGGACATCAGCCCTAGAGTACGCCGGCCCCACCCACTTGCCCCAGTGAAGTGCCTGTAGGTAGGCCTTACCTCAGCCACCACCTGCCACCACATGAGCCCAGTGCCGCTTTCCCTGGCCACATGGCTTTGATGTTACACTTGCGGACGATTCGGACGGCAGCCGTCACTGCCTCATTGCCTCCTGCAGAGTTCTCAGTCACCTGGGGGTGCCCAAAAGACACCCAGGAACCCCAGCCCACCCCTGGTTAGTCTCCTTTAGCTGGTCTCCGTGGGACCTGTAGAAGCTCCCTGGTGTTTTGATGTGCAGCCAGGGCTGAGGACACTGAACTAGGAGCCCCCCACGGTGGCCAGCATGGTGGCTGGGCACTGGTTCTGCCGGGCTCTGCTGCCCACAGCCTCGTGACCTGGGACAACCCAGCCCGACTGAGGAGGCTGCAGACCCGTCATCTAGAAAATGAGGATGACAAGAGTTCCCCTTTATAGAGGAATCGTGAGGACTGGAAGAGAAGACACCCGTGGACTCTCCCTGGTGCGTGGTAAATGCTCAATAAATGCTCAGGATCGCCCTTGTCGTCTGCTGAAAGATACGTGAGTCACCTGGTTGAAGTGCCCCTCGCTGGTCCAGACCCCCCAGGTGGAGGCCCCGGGTTCACCGCAGCAACACAGCCAGTGCCGCTGCCCCTCCCGACCCCCTGCAGAGCCGGCACCTAGCCCACTGCCCTCTTCCCCAGGTCGGGGACAATTGGCAGTGGAGCTGCGCCTGCCTCTGCGGCCTGTGTATCTGCGGCCACCCCTGAGACTCAGGTTGCTGTGAACTCCCTGGCTCCGGCCCGGGTCTCTCGTTGGGAGACAGGGCTGTGGTGACCGTGCCCGATCTCTCCCAGAGAACGCTGCCCGCTCGGAGGCCGCCCCTGGTCAGTGGCCAGGCTGGTCCTGCCTTCAGGGTGGCCTTGCGCCCATTGGTCCCTCTGCCTGGCGGCGGCGGTTCCATTCTCGTTGGTGGGGGCCTTGGCTCCCTTCCCCAGCACCCCCTGGCATCGCGCTAGTTCTGGTCAGGGCCTCGGTGGTCTCTTGGCACCACTTACCAGGAGGGGCCGAGGGACTAGGCTCTGGGTCACCGCTTCCGTAGTGGGCGCTCTTGTCTTTAGCTGTAATATCAGAAAGTCGTTCCCCGTTGGGAGACAGCGAGGACACTAAAAAGAAAACACAGATGAACAAAAGTAAGAACAGCAAGGCCCCAAGTCGTCACCACGCGGAGGTCCCCAAGGAGCGCCCTCCTCCTTTCCCAGGACACGCGTGGTGCTGCTCAATACTCGAGATCCCGCTGTGGGGGCCCCTTGGCGACCGCTGTGGCTGTTCAGGATTGGCATTTGTGACAACAGTTCACCTCCAGTGCCCAGGTGTGGCCACCTTGCCACCTTAACCCTGAGTGTCCAGAACCCTGTGCAGAGCCACTGTCTGGCTGTCACAGCCCCGAGTTCTCTTTTAATCCAACACCGCAGCCCAACAAGCAGCCCCGCCCACATCATACCCCGCCCACGCCCCGCCCCATGCACAGCAGCCACGCCCACAGCACGCCCTGCTCACGCCCACGCCACGCCCCATGCACAGCACGCCACGCCCACACCACGCCCTCCACACTCTGCCTTCCCGCCTTCCTGCCGCGGCTTGCTCAAGACCCAGGCCACCATCCTGCAGAACGTCCTTCTGCCCTGGCCGTCAGAATCAGACCCTCTGGAGCTCCCGCAGAGCTGACGGCCAGCCTTTGCTGAGCACCTACGATGTGCCCAACCTGGGCCGCTGGTTCCTGGGCCTCATCCCTGGGACTCCTCTCAGTCCACTGAGGTGGTTAGGATTCTGTGCCCGTTCTGCTGGTGCGTCAGCCGAGGACCAGGGCAGTGACTTATCCAGGGTCACAAGGCCAGCACGTGGCAAAGCTGGACGTGAATGCAGGTCTGAGTACTTCAGATCTGCTCTCAGCCTGGATTCTGGGCTGTTTCCTTGGGGGGAAGAACCGTCACCTCCCAAGTCCCCCTTGTCCAGTTGACATGATTGAATGGCCACATTCATCCCAGTGGTGCTGGCCCAGCTCACCCCCCCCGCCCCCCGGGCTCTTGCTGCCTTGCACACCCTGGGGCCCCTGGGGCCCTGCCCACCCGACCACAGGCACACGGATCCAGCTGCCAAATGCATGACGGGGACTGTCATGCCAAAGAGCATCAGGGGACTGACTGGAGCCACCGCCTCCCACCACCAAGGGAGACCCGCACAGCACAGCATCTTCTCAGAACTGAAACAAAGTGCCCTCGTCCCCAGCGTCACTGACTGGATGTGTCAGTTGCTGACATTAGAATCCAAAACATTGGGGTCAGGAGGACTCCTCGGCTGCCATGTCCTCTTTCTTACCTTTGGTTCTGTCATAGCTGGGGTGTCACAGGAAGAGCATCCAAAGGCCAGCAACCTGTCCGTCTCAGGGCCTGGCGTGGCACCTCGTGGCTGCGTGTCTCAGAGCAGGGATTTCTGCCCACCTCTGTGCCCTGGGTCTCAGTTTCCTCGAATGCCACATCCCAGGCAGGTGTCCTCAGACTCGATCCCGTGACAATCCCATGGCACAGGCACCGCAGGACCACGATGCCTGGTCCAAGGCCCCAGGCCAGATGCGGGTTGGACTGACGATGCTGCAGGCTTTAGTGTTGGCGCCCGCGTGTCTCCTCCCCATGGCATCTTGGGCAGCAGCAGCCACCCGACTGTTCCTCAGATGGTACGAACGGACCCACCAAGTGGGTAAAGTCCCCAAGTCCTGTGTCAGCCCAGCTGCATCTGCTGAGACGGGAGCTCCAACACCGCTGGGTTTCCACGCGTCTTGGATGGTGGGCCTGACTCTCTCCTGCTCGGTGGTGAAGCAGACGGACAGACACCCCCTCAGACGGCTCCAGGTACTTGCCTGGTTTTGAACCCCCTGGGTCCAGCTGCCCACAGCAGGGTCTGACCAGAGCTGGCCTCTGTCACTCGAGATACAAGGTGCTGGGCTGTCTGGTGTGGGCAGAGGGTGAGGACCCCGGGACCTGGGGCCACTCACGCATCCTGAACACCTGGGGTGCTGGGTCAAGCTTGGGGAAATGGCAAGCTATTAAATCAAGCTGGGGTCTTGCATCTGATTTATTTACTTTTGGGGGGGTTATCTGGGATTGAACCCAGGGGCACTCGACCACTGAGCCCCATCCCCAGCCCTACTTTGTATTTTATTTAGAGACAGGGTCTCACTGAGTTGCTCAGGGCCTCACTTTTGCTGAGGCTGGTTTTGCACTCTGATCCTCCTGCCTCAGCCTCCCGGGCCGCTGGGGTGACAGGTGTGCACCACTGCGCCCACTGTTTACCCTTTCCCTCCACAGACCTCGTACTATGGCAGACAGGCCTTTGGGGATGGACCCCATCTCCAGCCACCGGGTTCCTTCTCCTGGGGCTCTGGGCACAGGGACAGGAGCAGGAGCCTCAGCCGAAGGACAGCAGAGGGTTCCTCCTCCCAGACCACCCCCTTCCCTCCAGGCATTGGGAGGAGGCCGGAGGCCTGAGTGCAGGAATCTGCCAACAGAGCAAGGGACAAGGTGGCCACACGGCCTCTTGTGACTGTTCTGCCGGACGCCCACCCCGCTCCCTCTGGCTGCAAGATCAACTGCGTCTGTTATACAATGTCTCAAATCTGATAAGGAAAGCGTCCATTTTGAGCCACTTTCAGAGTGTGGACGGAGGCCCAGGTGCCCCCCGGAATGCTGATAGGGCCCCAAGGCTGTCCTGGGACGAGCCTGGCCTCCTGGGGCCCATTGGGCCTCCTTCTTGCACAGGGAAAGGAGCTGCCTGCTGCCCCACCACCTGCTACTGCAGACAGAGTGCGCCCCGTAGCTCACAAACACCACCGGTCAGCACGTGTTAAATGCACACCTACTGTGTCCAGGGGCTGGGTGAGGCCCCAGGGAATTGAGGTGATAACTAGAGCTGCTCCTACCCTCACAGGCATGTTAGCTCCCGGTCCTGGAGGCTTTCAGGCCAGTTCCCTCCACCCATACCCAGAGCCAGCCCAGGAGGAATGTGTGTAAGTCCCCAAAAGGAAGTCCCTGGTGTAGACCCTGAGTCTGGTCTGTGGACTCCATAGTGCCCTTCCTGTGACACCCTGGCAGCCTTTGCCCCCTATGGGTGGGTGAGCATTTGTCAGAGAAGATAGACAAACAGGATGTGGATCAGGGAAGGAGAGGACAGGATGGCTTTCTGTGTGACCTGAGGCAACTCTCTTGCCTTCTCTGGGCCTGTTTCCCTATCCATAGAAATAAAGATGTCTGTTGACTGTGCCAGGACCTTTGCCCTCATGTCTTCTTTCAAACCTCCCAGTGGTTGATATTTTGTAGGCTCTGGGCTCAGATCGATCTGATCCTGTCTCGTAGTCCAACCGTTTCCGGCTGTGGGACCACATCCCCCCCCTGAGGTCTGTGATATGGAAAAACTAGTGAATGATGAGTGTCTAACGTGGACCCCGGAGCCTGGCACAGGGGGTGAGCTCCAGTAAATGAGGGCTGTCGCTATTCTCAGAGGAGGGGACACTGAGGCTCCGACAGGGGACATGACGGCTTCAAGATGGCTGAACTGGAATCGGAGCCCAGGAGCGTTTGGCCCCAGGGCCTTGCTGACCTGTCCTGCCCCAGGGGGTGAAGGTCTTTGGGAAGAGCCAACCCTGCAGCCCCAGGGGCTCCGGTGACAAAGTGGACTTGTCCCCACTGCCTCAGACACTGCGGTCCCCAGGCCCACAGCGCCGGCCGGTCATTACCAGGGGCCTGGGGAGGACGTGACCTTGGGGACAGAGGCTCCCCTGGAGCCCGGCGGCTGCCTTCTGTTGCCAAGGAGGCCACATCTGCTCCATGCCCTTTTGACTTTCCCGCCATCTGCCTCCGAGGCAAGTCCACTATTGGGGAAGGGACGTCATCCATCAGGACTGTCCCTCAAGAGCCACCATGTCCCAAGCTCTGTGGGTGGGAACCGAGGCACGGAGCCAGGAAGGGCCTGCCGTGGCCACTCACCAGGTTTGCAGCAGAGCTGGGGCCTCAAGCCACGCGTCCCCGACACCTGGGGTGCTGGGCCAAGCTCGGGGAAAGGGCAGAGGCTCCTAATAGTCCCCACGGGCCCAGGAGAGGCCCGCGCCTACACTGTGGCCTCAGGGAGCTCTGGGCAGAGCCGGCCCCAGGAGGGTGGAAGGCAGGAGTCCCCGGGCTCTGCTGGGAAGTGGCGGGGCGGGGTGGAGGGGCCAGAATCAGGACCCGGCTTCTCTCCACCTACTCTACCTCGTGGTGCAGGAGAGCCGGCAGGCTCCTGTGATGCTGTGTGGCACGGGGGCAGTGGCTTCCTGTCTCTGGATCTCGTGTCCTTGACGTTTCTGAGGCTGTCATTTCCTGCTCTAGGGCTGTGACCTGGTCTTGTTTCCCAGGGCCACCGCCACCACTCGAGGAACTCTACCTGTTCTGGGGTCTGGAGTCAGCAGGTGGCCTAGAGAAGTCAGGCTGGGGAAGGCGCCCAGGTGGCC